TTCAGTAGGGTTTTTGGTTGCGTCTCCAGCTGTCTTGGGTTTTAAAGGGGTTTAACAAGGTGGTCGTGGGTATCCTGAATGGGTCGCATACTTTCTTCGTATTACGCGAGCTATCTCGAGTGCCTGAAATAGAAGCGAGTGTGGAATGGTCGCCGATTTGTTCAAGCTTTGACATATGTTTGCTTCTTTTTTCAAGTACCTAGAAGCGAGCTACAGCCATGTCTTCCTCCAATAGTCATACCATAGACTGAATGTTCCATTCACAGGTAGGCTCGGCAGCTCTTAGGGATGTGTCCCCTGAGGTTTCTAAAGAATTCATCACTCGAAGCTCGGACCCCAACGTTGTGGGTTTGTCTGATAGTGCTTCAATTCAGCTAGCCCAATCTCCGCCGTCTCCAACCCATAAGCTATGAAGAGAACCACGATCCCCGATTACCCTTGGGGATCTCGAACGCATAAGAGCGGCCTACGCACTGCAACTTAACTTGATGGTTTTGGGGAAATATTCTAGGAAGAAACCCCCACATGGATGGGTAACAACCTCTGAGACTCTCCTTAGGTGCGGGGTATCCATTCCCCTGCACTACTTTATCAATAACGTATTGAGGCGATTCGACATTGTTCATCTTCAACTGACGGACAACTCTTACATGATCATTATTGCGATGTACATTACATACATGATCGCTGAATTGGACGAGCCATCTGTCGAAGAGCTCGTCCACTTGAATAGGCTGAAAAAAAGGCAAGACCAAACATACTACCTTTCCAAAGTGAGAAGAGTACATTTTAACGGGCTGATTGATATCCCGAAGAAAGTTCCACACTAGGATTCACAGTTCTTTTTCTGCGGAGACCCTAAACCTGGAAGCGAGTAAGGCTCGAGAGACTAGTGTCTTCGTTGTGGAAGCGAGTAAGGCTCGGGCTTCCCGTGTATGTGTGAGGATTGTTCTCGAGCTGTACATTCTAACTGATCGTCTTGTTTTGTTTTTGCAGTTAACGTAGAGCAAAGTTATCTTCCAACCGCAAGCTTATAGAGGCTGCAACATTTTAGCAATCCTCCGGACAATCAGTGTAACGTCAACGAGCTTCTTACGCTTCCTCATTTGAAAGCGTACGGCTACTTTCGGGACGAGGCCAACTTCTTAGCACTTTTGGAGAAAGGTTAAGTTGTTGTTTGCTTGCGCTTGCTTTCCCACGCAAAATAGATTGCTAATTCTCTTGCCTTTTTTCTTGCAGATATGTGGGCCGAAAAACCAAAAAAGAAGAAAATGGCTGCCTCTGCGGCTGCTACGAAGGCTCTGGCTGCTTCGGGGATGAAGCAGCCTACGAAAATTGTTGGCTCGAAGCGTGCCGGTGGCGACCTTGGGGGAAACCCAAGCGCGAAAAAGCCCACGGCTGCCACTAAGGCAGTTGGCGATAAAAGCATTACGGAGCCCCGAAAGGGGCTAGTGAAGAAAGCATCCGAACCAATTGGAGGTTCAGGAAAAAATAAAGTACCTGAACAGCAAATTGGCTCTGGCAAAGAGGTCGCCTTCGAAAGGAAGTGGCCAAAGGTTTGGCCAAGAAGAAATCTGCCCCTACTGGTAAGGCAAGTGCTTCTAGGGGGAGCAAACCTGGCTCGTCCCAACCAAAAAATAAATAAACAAACGAAGAGGTCTAAGCTGCAGTCGATGGGCTGATCGACCAACTTCCCGACCATATTGGTGTTAGGGCCGCGATGACCAGGGATTGTGTCATCCTATGAACAATTGATCTGAATCGCAATACCGATATTCTCGCGATTGGGCATTGTGACTGCGCAGAGATCGCTGTTGATCAAGTCATTCTCATAATAGATGGGATCTGAAGTAATCTGGAGATTGATTGAATGATTCCTTGAATTGTTCGCAACTAACTTATGCTGGATCGAGCTATATCTCGACGAGCTTATGCTAGGTCGATCAATCATAGTTGTCGAGCTCATTCTAGGTCGAGCTATATCTTCGTATTGACCCGAGCTTGGCGAAAAAACCACACACAACAGTAGAAAGTCAATACTCGTTTTTTGAAGTCTCCAACCTCTCACTCTCATCATCACAATGTAAAATAGAAACCTTGAAATGAAAGATGGAAGGAAGGAGGAGACATCAGGTCAGACATAGAAATATTTATTCTAGAGAAGAGAGTTGTAAGTGGAGACTTTTAAGCAAGTAAAACAAAAAGGCAGGTCAGGTCTCTCTTCTCTGTTGACAATTAAATCTTAATTTTAACTAATTAAGTGCAAAGTTCTGCTCAACCTTTGCATTTTTCAATTTTAAATCACCACAACAATTGAACCCATCTTAGGGACCAAAAAGTCAAATCCAATATCATAAAAAATGTAAATACTATAATGCATTTTTTTTTATATTAATCCCCCAACGGTTAGTTAAATAATAAAAACTCCCCCTATCGTTAAGTTTTAGATATTAAAAAAAAGTAGAAAAATATTATATAAAATTTTTGTTAACTCATAATACTGTAAGTCTGTAAACTCTATTTTTTTTTTTTTAATGACCTGGGATGTCCAGGTAGGTTACGAGCATCTCAAATAATCTCTCGAGGTCCTAGAACAATCGGTCGGATAAGAGCTCTAGTGGGTATCCCAATTAACAACTGAGGAAGGACTATAACTCAAGACTTCTTGAGTAATATACCCAAGAGTTTTTATCAAACCACTCAATCATCAAGAGATAGTTAAGTCTATAAATTCTAATTGTTCATTGACAGTTTACTAACATCAGGGGGATTTTGATAATAATATTAAACCTTAGGGGATTGATGGATTTAACTCTTGAATAAGTCTTATGGATTATGGCCATTTTTATGTACTATTGATTTAAGGAAGAGTCAATATTCCAACTTGAAGTGTACGAAAAAAATAAATAATTTCTCTACTACTATGATGATAATTTTGGCAATTTATAATAATAACAAATTGATAAAAAATATTGTTGAATTATTGGGGTTAATTATCAAGAAAATTTGGATCCCGATTGTCTCCCAAATCATGTCTACAAACAGTGTCTCAAAATAATAAAAGCAGAAGAATGGGACTTATAATATCTTTCAAAATCATGCAAAAAGTTTTGATGTGCCATTGAGAATCACTTATAGAAGATTTAAAAAGTATAGTTGCTTCAAATTCACCCTTCTGAAGAATCATAGGTGGGGTTCAACATTTTTTCTATCACTTGTTTTAGATTCCAAAATTATTGGATTCCATTTATCTCATTTTCCCACTTTATTAAAGTTTCAATTCAACCACCAAATTTTTTTTTTTTTTTTCGAATTTTGCTACGGCATGTACCTAAATTAAAGAGCTCTCTTTATCTTAAATTTCATATCAATCGAGTCATATGATCATTGAAGAAATGAGTTCGATTGCAATTTTAATTCTACTATTTTTGGCAAACTTTTGGGTCGACAATATTATTAAATATATTTTTCTTGATAAAGATGTGACGCATTTTAAAAATCAAATCAAAAGTTGTAATTAAACACATACAACTAGTATTGTAAAACGTAATATTTATAAATAATAATGGACTTTATAAAAGCTAGTGATAATATAAGATATTGGACCAGTAATAAAGTCCCATGGCTTTCATGATTGTGCAAGATCATTTGAGGCCCCAACTAGGGGTGTCAGTTGAGCCAAGTCGCTTGAGCTCAACTTAGTTAAGCTATAGTGTCGAGTCGAGTTCGAGCTCGCTAGATTTTGGTTCAACAAGCTCGAGCTTGAAAAGCTCGATTGGAAAAGTGGAGAATTGGAGAGGTTTCTTTTATATTTTTTTTGAGCTCGAGCTAGATTAGGCTTGAGATCGAACTCGAATTTTCAATGTTGAACTCGAATTTTAAAGCTCGACAAGCTCAAACTCAAACTCAACACTGTAACAAACAAGCTGTAATAACGGATATTCTAAAATTTAGTGATAATATAAGATATTGGACCAGTAATAAAGTCCCATGGCTTTCATGATTGTGCAAGATCATTTGAGGCCCCAACTAGGGGTGTCAACTGAGCCAAGCTACTCAAGCTCAACTTGGTTAAGCTATAGTGTCGAGTCGAGTTCGAGCTCACTGGATTTTGGCTCAACAAGCTCGAGCTCGAAAAGCTTGATTGTAAAACTGGAGAATTGGAGAGTTTTTTTTTTTTTTTTTTTTTTTTTTTTTTTTTGAGCTCGAGCTAGATTAGGCTTGAGATTGAACTCGAATTTTCAATGTCGAGCTCGAATTTTAAAGCTCGACAAGCTCAAGCTCAAACTCAAACTCAACACTGTAACAAACAAGCTGAGCTCGATCAGACCTAAGCTCGGCTCGGCTCGTTTACACCCCTAGCCCCGACACTGATGGCAATTATCTTTTGTGATGAAGATGTTTTGAAGTTTCATGATAAGGGGGTGTTTGTAACTTTGCAATAGGTTGAATTAAGGGCAAAAAAAAAAATCATTTCGCTATCTAACAGATTTTTATGAACGGATTTAACATAATGAAGGCTCAGGTTGTAAGGAGTTCTGAAATAAAGCCCAAGGTTTAAAAGTTAGGGCCGTGGTTTGTTTTGGGCTAATATCGGGCCAGCCTCACAAAATATTCTTTGAATTACATAATAGAGCTGTGACTATCATTTGCTCATTATTACAGCTATATTTAAGGATAAGATACAAAGAATCGTCTAATCCATAACAGCCGCTTTAATCACAGCACTAATCACACTTAATTACAGTATAAAAAAAAATTTAAATTTTTTGTTTCCCTCTCTTTCTCTTAATACAAATAATTACCACATTTGTACTAACGACTGGACTAAAACATTTTGTTGACTAGAAGAATCTGAAAATAAAAATGGAGAATCCATCAAACCATGTTCAAGAATTTCAATTCTCAAGTATTTATATAGTTTTCATATTATTTTTATCAAATTGTATTTATTTTGTTTTTTCTTAATTCATTTTTCTGTTTTTTGGCAGAGTTTTCGGAGAGCAGAAAGAAGGTTGATTCTCAGCAGATGGAGAATTCAGCAGAAATAATCTGGCAAAAGAAGAAAAATTCTTTAGAATACGAAACCAAAATTGATCATCGCAAGAGTTTAGCTTGGGACAGCGCCTTCTTCACAAGTCCTGGTGCGTTTAAAAATCTTTAAAAATGTTAATGAAAATCCTATATTTAAAAATCTTTGACGTGCTATTGATTTTGATTGAAAAATTTATTCGTAATGTGTCCGGTTCTCAGGAATTCTGGATCCTGAAGAATTGTTTGAGGGACTGAATTTTCGGGATGTGGCTTCCGAGTCCCTGGAGCAAGAAAGAACAAAGAGGAATTGTGAGATTAACACGCGTAGAAGTTTAGCATGGGATAGTGCCTTCTTTACAAGTGCTGGTATGTGTTCGGGTTGAAGGTTCTCAACCGCAAACCCGTTTATGACACGGTGAACATGTTGATGAAGCTTGTTAGCGTAAACATTTTTTTTTTTTTTTGGTGGCATGTGTAGGAGTTCTGGATCCTGAAGAGTTGTGTTTGGTAAATAAAGGATTTAAAAAGTGTGAAACACGTCTAATCCCTGAAATTGAAAAAAATATTTGGAGTTCTGCTGAATCAAACTCCCTGATAAATAGTGCTAGTTCCTCACTGGCAAGCCTGGAGATTGATTTGTTTGATGATTCAAAACCATCCGTATGTGAAATGAGTAATGCAACCAATGTTACGGCTTCTAGTTGCATATTGGGAAGAGAAAATGGCTTGCAAAATACCCAGTGTGAGTTCACTGCTGAGGAACTGAAAGTTCTAGCAAGATTTTTTTAATTTGCGGTTATTTTATATGATAATTAAGTAGTGGTGTTACTTCTTTTCAGGTATGAAGAAATTGGATGCTTCCTCTGCAGTGAAGGTAAGTCCTGATCATGGTGGACATTAGACAATCAATCTTTCTCTGATGCTTCTTGGATCATGATTTCATCATTTTGAAATTTCAGATGAAATCTTTAAAGAGGCAAAGTCCTTACAAAAACGTATCAGAAAGGAGAGCGAAGGTGGCTTCTCTTCCTCCACAAGCACAGGCATGTTGTTTATGTTTACTCACTCTTGTTTTTTCCTACCAAAAGGAAGTAATTGACTGAAATTGACATTGGTTACTTTGCTGTTAAATTAAATCAAGCAAGTTGGACGTGGAGGATATTGCAGTCCTTTATCAGCTCTTAAGCCACCAAAGGCATCAGTTCAGGTTAACTCTCCATTGATCACTCCCAGCAAAAGGGCATCTTCAGGTTCAAATAATATCACAATGGAAAGTAAAGCTAAAAAAAGTGCACCAGGTATGCATTCCATGAGCTCAAATTCAACTTTCTGTCTTTTAACTGTAAATTTTGTTCAACTTTAAATGACTCTTACAGGGCAACATATGATTGCATCAAAGAGACCTTGTCTGCGAAAATCATCCCCAAAATCACCTTCTTTGAGCTCACACACTCCCATGAATAAGTCTGCAGGACTTGGCGCAGCTAAATCTGATTCTGCTTCTAGATCTTCTCAAAACCCTCTTAGTAGAAAAATTGACTCCAGACTTCTTTCTTCTGGTTCACCCTCTCCTTATAGAAATTTACATGGAAACAAAATTCAGCTTCTAAATTCTAGTCGCCCTTCTCATTTATTGTCCTCCCTCGAGTCCTCTCGGACATCACCTTCTAGCTCCATTAATATGTGGTCCTCTGAGTCATCTGCTTCTATCAATCAAAGATCTATCAGCTCCACAGGAAGTCTGGATAACACTTGTGAAGAGAATTCTTCTGATCATGATTTCTCTCATGCATTGGATTCTGAGCGCCATATCTGTGATCGAAACTGCTTTACACAAGGAGATCGGGACAATAGGTTTGTGAATCAACATGCTAAGACAAACTCCATGCGAAATAGTTCTGTTCTTGCTAATATCTCAAAAAGCATCAAACCTTCAAGCCTTCGGATGCCATCACCAAAGATTGGTTATTTTGATGCGGTTTGTTTTACTTTTACTTATTTAGTAATGAATCCATTTAGAATTTCATTCAACTAAATTCAATTCAAGCTAATTGGTCAATTCTTTTTTTGACTGACAGCAATATTCTGTAGCACTGACACCAAAGGGAGATATGAGGTTTCATTGTGGAGTACACAGCAGTTCCTCTAAAACCGGCAGTGGTGTAGCTAACCACAATGGAGTTGCCACTAGAACAATGCGTGGCAAGCTTCAACAGTGGGGAACTTTATCAGAGATTGATTCTCAGAAAACTGCAGGATTATGTCATCCTTTAGGCAACAGTCTTTGTGGTTCTGCCTCATCCAAAAAAGATAAGGTAAATAGAGGATTTATGAACCTTAAAAAGGGCATGAAGAGAAACGGTCAAGACAGTCAAAGAACGACAAAGAATGAAGATGCCAACAAACAGTCTCCTCTACATATACTTACTGATGATGACAAGGAAAACTTATGGAGCTTTCATAATCAAGTGGAAAATTTAAGCAAACATATTGAAGCCATTAATTTCAACTAGGATCTGGAAATATAGCTGAAAGCAGAAAAAAGATACCTCACCTAGTTTAAGTTTTGGCATCAATAATCCTCAAAACCATTGTTCATCAGGAGCATTTTAGCGCCTAACCATCCACAACAAAGTGAGATTTTACACCGACCCATGGCTTCTGCGACCAACTGACAATCATGTAGTGTATTTGTTGAACAAATTGGTTGATTGTGCTGCCAGCAGATTTAAGAAAAGAAATGGTAATAAAGAAATTATAAACTAGAGACAGTGTTTGGTGACGCCATTTTTCAAAAATATTTATCAGTTCATTACATTAGGTGCCTGCATTTTGTTTCAAAATCAAGAGGGTCATTTTTGCTGTCATATGTTTGGAAATGCCGAATTTTTCATTTCATGTTGGATGATAAGTAACTAATTAGCAAAAATATCCAATATTTCGTACCATCATATCACACCTATGTAGAACAGCCTCATCAAGCACATTTAACACTTTACAGATAGCTAATTATAAGTTTTGTTCTTTGACAAATAGATGGTGTTGATTTAATAAATTGAAATTGGTCAGAAAAGTTCTCTACAACAAAATTGCAGCTGTCATTTATATAAATGGCAAATCGGCAGTTCAGGGCATGATAAACTCCTACAATTTTCTATGACCTTGGTTTCTCCTTCTTCTCTTTGAAGAGGGCCAGAAGAGAGACACCAGATACTTTCACAACCTTGAATCTAACTCCAGGAATATCTCCTACTGCATGCCCCTTTCGTCCAAATCCTGCAATCAGCACCTCGTCCTGCTCCAACCACATCAAGTACTCATTTTAGTCTAATACGTAAAGAAAAATCAATACCAAATATAGCAGAATCTTTAAGATTTCTATAAAATGAAACACGTTCTCAATCTTGAGTGATCAAATGAAAATAAGGAGTAATCATGGGTGACTAGCTCCCATCTCCAATTCAAACAGTTAAGAAATTATGAAGATTAAAAAATGACATAGAAGCTTAAAACATAATTTAACCCCTCAACAGAAAAGGAATAGAGTTGCTGACGATGTCCAAGAATTTCTAAAAATTAAATTCCATGTCAACAAAATATTGCCATAAAAGAATATGAGTCTTACAGGAAAAATATTTTAAAAATAATGGTGTTTTAACATATAAACAATAAACTTACATTCTCCTCAATGTAGTTTAAGCAACCATCATTGGGTACAAAAGCAGCAATTTTCTTTCCATTTTTGATCAGCTGCACACGAGCACATTTTCTGATAGCAGAGTTGGGTTGTTTAGCCTCAATACCACTGCATAAGCCAGTTAACCATTTGTCAGGTTCAATTTGTAAGCAAACCTGATTATAAAAGAAACTCAATATATGAAGTAAGATGAAGACCTCACATTTTCTCAAGGACTATGCCCTTTGCATGGGATGAACCAGCAAATGGCTTTTTCCATTCATTCCCAAGATTGGATTTCTTATATGCCTTGTCAGCCCACCTCTGATTCCTGCGGTGGGTCTTCAGCTTACGACCAGCTCCCATACCACGTGTCTTCCTGCATAACTCACACCATTATTCTGTTTTATTGTATTTTCTCCTGCAAATCCATAATTCCATAATACAAAAGAAAGTTTGACAACGCAATACACAAGATGCCGCATAACCAATTACTTTTACGGTGGTGAAGACTAAGCTAAGAGTCATGTCTCAACATGCTGCCAGCATAAATGATGTATTTTGGCTATATCTCAAGTCTAGCTATGCCAGTTAGTTCATCATCCTCATCCACCACTCACACATGAAGTAGAAATTAACCCTTAAATCTTGACAGTGTGATACTTGCAGATACAAACATATTCAAGGGCCAAATGAATCCTTCACCATATCATTTAAACTTCTAATATTCATTTTGATTCAGCTTCAAACTAAGCTTCATAAATAAACAAGTTCAAAAGTAGCACAGGAGATTGGCCTTTTCAACAATCAACAGAATATAATTCTTCGAAAAAGAGAAGAACTTGGCACTATAACTCCGAAGAAAGTAAGTGCCACCCATCTGTTTTGATTAATAATACTAGCATTTAACCAACCAAGCTATTATATAGACACACCAATCAAATTTGGATATTCCAACTCTAAATCTTTCTAAGCAAAAAAAGAGTAATTAACTAGAGATGAAATTTAAAAAAAGTCCATTTTTAAGAACAAAGATTAATCATATTTATTAACTATACTTTACTACTACATATTAAAAAATGAAACTAGTAAAATATCAGTCTAATACTAATAATCACAATTGTTTCTTATGTTCTAGAAGCTAAGTTATAATTTTACAGTAACCAAACAAATGAAGAGCAGTTGAAACTGAAGCACTTAAAATGTCCATAAAGCAAACGATAAACTCCATAGCAAAGCATCCAACAAGAGATAAAAGCAATAATAAAGCCAGTAGAGTAAAGAGAAAACGAACCCCATTTTGGAAGATAGAAGAAGTTGCTCTTAGAAGCTCTGGGAGTGGGAGTTGCAGGTGAAGAGACGAGGCGGCTGATGGAAACCCTAACCCTAACTCGATTTGGTTCAGCTATATATACATTACCAGTTGTAGCTCTATTCTTCTTCCATTTTGGGGATTAGGGTTAGGGTTAGGGTTAGGGTTAGTTAGTTGACGGAATTAGTGTTGCATTTTACGTCAAATGACGAAATTGCCCGTATACTGCTCAATTCTTTTTTCTTTTTTTTTAATCTTTATGAATTTTGTATTTTTATTTTCTTTGTTTACTAAAAGATATTAAAAATATGAAAAAACCCTTTCAGCATATTTGTCTAAAACGAAAACGCAAAATATTTTTGTTTAAAAACCTAATAAAAATGAAAAATATAAAATTTATCATTTCACATTTAATAAAATACATTTAAATTACTATTTATTTATTCGTCTCAAAAATCTTATCTGTTAAAATTGTTTCATTTATAAAAAGAGAATAATAATATATTCACTGTTTATTCAATTTAATTTTTTAGAATAAAAATATATTAATTGTTTATTCAAATATATTTTTTTATATAAAAAAGATGGGTTGAGTAACTTGAGTTCTTTATTTTATTTTACTTTTTTGGCATCCAGAAGTATCCGGACCAGTTTACACGTACTTCAACTATTCCTTCGGGATCCTGAAGTTAACAGTCAGGTAAACTTCCAATGACTACTCCTCATTAATAGTCATGGGGATTCAAACTCAAGATCTTTTGAGTAATACACTCAAGAGTTTTAAACGAACCGCCAAACTATCTAAAGGTGGTTAACTTGAGTTCTTTCCCTCCATCCGTTTTTTTCTCATTTCTCAAAACTAAATCCTTAAAAATTGGTGAACAACAATTCGATGAGGCCTGAATTTTTGTTGTAATTGCATTGAAATCTATTTTTAAATAAATAATATAAAGACCCGAGTGTATACATTGTTAATTTCTACAAATGTATTTTTTTTTTCAACAAATTCAACTTTTATTATAATTTTAATGTCAAAACTATTAAAACTTTATAAAAGATTACCAAAAAAACACAGTAAAATATTATCTATAATTACAGAATTGAAGAAAGTGTATTGAAATTCGTTGTGTGTGATATTTACTACTGAAAAATATCCCCATAATATATAATTTTGTAGAGTTATATTCTAGCCCTATGTTCGCTTACTAAAAGATACTAATTACTAATAAAAGAGTAAAAGAAAGTTTTATGAATTTGTAAGCTCGACTCCCAGAATAGAGATGACCCTTGGGACCTTTTTCCGATCAACAGTTCCAAAAATCCAAAAAACTAGTTAAGATGCACATAAGGTCGGTAGGCAAGTAAGGCACCTACCTAGGGCTCCCCCGAAAATAGGGTCAAAAAGAGCCCAATTTTTTTATAATTTTTTTTGAATATATTACAAAAATAAAAATAGTATATAATTTCTTATTCAGGTTGGCCTAAGGCCCAAAAAAAGCAACTAAAAAGACCTAAATTTATTATAAACTTTTTACATATATTCCCACCCAAAGTTTGACGAATAGCAAGTTTGTACCTCTAATTTCATATATTTCAATTTACACCTATAAATTAACAAATTGAATTTCTTTTAACAATGAAATACTAAAATGGTCATTTACATATCTCAAATTACTCACCCCAANTAATTACAGAATTGAAGAAAGTGTATTGAAATTCATTGTGTGTGACATGTGCTACTGAAAAATATCCCCATAATATATAATTTTGTAGAGTTATATTCTAGCCCTATGTTCGCTTACTAAAAGATACTAATTACTAATAAAAGAGTAAAAGAAAGTTTTATGAATTTGTAAGCTCGACTCCCAGAATAGAGATGACCCTTGGGACCTTTTTCCGATCAACAGTTCCAAAAATCCAAAAAACTAGTTAAGATGCACATAAGGTCGGTAGGCAAGTAAGGCACCTACCTAGGGCTCCCCCGAAAATAGGGTCAAAAAGAGCCCAATTTTTTTATAATTTTTTTTGAATATATTACAAAAATAAAAATAGTATATAATTTCTTATTCAGGTTGGCCTAAGGCCCAAAAAAAGCAACTAAAAAGACCTAAATTTATTATAAACTTTTTACATATATTCCCACCCAAAGTTTGACGAATAGCAAGTTTGTACCTCTAATTTCATATATTTCAATTTACACCTATAAATTAACAAATTGAATTTCTTTTAACAATGAAATACTAAAATGGTCATTTACATATCTCAAATTACTCACCCCAATTCAATCCCAAAATTTGACATTTACATAAATCATCTTCCCCTCTCTTTTGCCGCTGATCGTTTGAAGCTGATTTCGGTCAATTTTCTCACCAAAATCGACCGGAATCATCACTTTATCATTTTCCAAGTGTTTTCCCAGCCTTAATAGCCCTCGATTTGGCCAATTTTTTACAAATCTAGCAACCCAACTCCAACACGTGCGACAACCATTTTTAGCCTTTTCAGCATGTACCTAGCGTTGTTGACCTTTCTTGACACCACCATCTTCCTCCCCTCAGTCCTCTCGCCAAAACTCCTATCATACTTCATCCATTTACTCCGCCAATGGCCAGTCACCGATACCTTTTGGACCATAACTTCACAAGCCTTTTCCGGTCAATCCTGGCATTGGAAATCACCTATTTCACCACCTATCACTTCTCCAGCATTTGCTCTCTAAAACCCCCCACCAACTTGACCTCGTTAGCCCACCGGTCATCGTCCTCCTCTTCTAGTGATTTTGCATCACGAAAGGCAAGAAAAATAAATTTAAAATAATTTGTTTAATATATGGTTATATTATTAGAAGGTCTCCAAAATAACTCTAATATAGAGTCACACAAATATTCTTGAGACAACCCTAGACGCACGTGATCTAGTAGGACAATAACAATAAATTGTCTGTATATAATTCTTAACAAAGTTGCATATTCTCATAAACACCAAAAATATTGGACCTGAAAAACATTTGAATAATTCATCCTCTTCTTTTGGTAATTTCATTTTCAAAAATGCATTGATCACATTACATATGGCCATTAGTTTAATAGTTTTTCTTCCACAGATGATATATATCTGGGTTTCCAGTTTGTTTCAGTTTACCGATGCTGAAGGATCTCCATTTCAGGTTCATGTTAACACACATACATCACATCTAAATGATCATATTATCATAAATTAAGAAAGAAGAAGAACAGATTCTCCATTTATTTACACCAAAATAAACATACCCAACATCACACCTATTACACTTCACTAATTAAAACCCAAAACCATCTTCATTTACTATCCAACTAACACATAAATTGCATATATAATCCCAGGTATATATCCCAATATTGTCAGCAACAGATCTATCCAAAACTCCACCTGCAAAAACAAGAAAAATAAAACGATCAGATCATATCATATCACATCACAATGTGTTTTTCTTCTAAATTAAACCAATGAATATTCAAGAAGAACATGTACTCCACAGCCATAACGTAGGAAGACTCCAACAGGAGGAAGAAGGATGGCGAGTATGATTTCTAGGAATGTCTCTGAACCCATGAAGATGGTAATAGTTGGAACTTGAAACTGGTAAATTCAAATACAGATAGGGGTGGGCGATTTAAGCTTAAAGATGAGAATGCAAGAAGAGGACAGCAGTACAATAGATATGAACAGGTGTTAAATTCACGTAAATTTTATTTTGCCACGTGTTTTAGTGTTTGACACGTATGGGATTATGCCTATACTGTAGTGTTCTTCTTTGACTTGTTTCAATATTACTATTGGTGGTGGATGATCAGAACACTTGTTCATAATTGAACCTCATGAGCTGCACACACTTTTTATATATCAGACAAGGATCAACGGTCCTGATCAAGTTTGAGGATTTTGATCTGCCCTGATCCTTCTGTTTAAAAAACATATGCTATTGCCATTTTGATCCATCTAAATACTATGTAATATGCTTAATAGGATTACTGAATTTTGTCATAAATGCTGATACTGCTTTGAGAAAGTTACAGAGACTGTCTAAAGTGATGTATTTCTTAATTTTCTTTATGAAATTGGGCATCAGATATTTGCTGTATCTTGAGTTCAAGCAAATGATATATAATTGTGATTCTATTTGGAATTAGATTCTTATGCTTGCTGACCTCTGACTATATGGTTAGACCTTGGCATGATTATATCCCCCATTTGGCTAGGAAATGGAAAGGTAAGAGTGTAAAGATTTACCTTGGGTACTCTTTGTCTAGAGGTTACGGTGTATTGGGTTTGGAGAGAGTGAAATTGTAGGATCTCTGGGCGAGAGTACAAGAATTCTCACACTATTATCGATACTATCAAAAGTGTGGTGAGAGACAAAGTCATGAATCTTAGCAATATTAAATCTTCCTATAAAAATAGGAAGTTAGCTGATACATGAGGACTTCCTAGAATCATCTTCAAAGACAGTTTGCTCGTTGTTATTGTGAAGATTTTGTCCTCTTTGTTTTCTTTGCTTTTGAATCTTCTTTGTGTTTCATTTATGTGTTTTTTGGAGCCAAACCCAAGGGATTGTCCTTAGGGTAGTGTTTTGTTGTTGATTTCTTAACTAGATTCTTTCTCTTGGGTTTTATCTCCCATGTTGGTTTAGCTAGGCTCCCAAGAGAATTGTGGCTTTTTTTTTTATTTTTTGCACCGTACGCGGGATGTCCTGATGTAGGTTGGGCTGTTGGCTGCCTTTTTTGTGGGCTTTCTTTTTTAATACAATTTACTTAGCAAAAATTGTGATGAATGTTAAGAATATTAGAAGTTTACCAAGAAAAGTTACATAACAAATAAGGTGTCGTGGTGTAGTTGGTTATCACGTCAGTCTAACACACTGAAGGTCTCCGGTTCGAGTCCGGGCGACGCCAAATGGGTATTATTTTTGTTTTGTGCTGCATTTTTAAAACCTACCTTAATCTTGAAATTAAGATTGGAACTTTAGGTGGTCTAGCAAAGAAACAAAAAACATTGGTTCAAGCAACAGCAATGAAGATGTTGATAGCAAAGAAACTAAACTGAAAAAAGGGTTATTTTATATTTTTATACACCCCTTTTAAAAAAAAAAACAATACAGACAGATAGCCCCCACGAACTTCAGAAACTACATGAACACCCTCTTCTGCGGACAGATAGCCCCCATGAACTTCAGAAACTACTAAAAAAGGGTACAAGGTGACCATGACAACAGACATCTGCATTTTCAATATCAGAAATAATACATTCTTCTTCAAGTTCAAGCAACTGTAGCATTTACAGCATCAGAAATAATATATTCTTCCTCAAGTTCAAGCAACTATGATTTTATTAGTGCGGCAAATATTACAGCCAGCAACTGGTTCAAGCAACAGCAGTAAACATTCTTTGGAATGGATCAACAAAATCACTGGTTCCGTTTGTTTGATAGCAAAGAAACTAAACCTAAAAACCAAATAAGAATTGGCTCCAATCAGATTTCCAATACTGTATTATGGGCTACGCAGGAAGCAAAATTGACCACAAAGTGAATATGTTAACACGCTTGACACCTACTGACCATCAAGGCTGATAAGGCTCAGGAAGACGAAGGCCCACACTAGCAGCAGATTTCCCGAGTACTCTTTTCATTTCATCTGATCTATCCACGGCAATGTTGTACGAGAACAGCAAGTCCTACAATCATCACAATATCAAGGTAAGATATGACAAATAACTAGTTCTTTACCACATAAGCTCTTTCATTACAACAATTAGCAATTGAGTAAACAGAAGAGAAATAGTGGTTAGTCAACAAAAACGACAAACCACACACTGATAAAACTATTTTACCCAATAGTGGAACTCACTATTATTTAAACCCTTTCTATTCGTACCATCATATACACACCTAGTAGAACAGCCTCATCAAGCACCTTTAACACTTTACAGATAGCTAATTATAAGTTTGTTCTTTGACAATAGATGGTGTGATTTAATAAATTGAAATTGGTCAGAAAGTTCTCTACAACAAAAATTGCAGCTGTCATTTATATAAATGGCAATCGGCAGTTCAGGGCATGATAAAACATACAATTTTCTATGACCTTGGCTTCTCCTTCTTCTCTTTGAGAGGCCAGAAGAGAGACACCAGATACTTTCACAACCTTGAATAACCAGGAATACTCCCTACTGCATGCCCCTTTCGTCCAAATCCTGCAATCAGCACCTCGTCCTGCTCCAACACATCAAGCACTCATTTTAGTCAATATGTAAAGAAATTCAATACCAAATATAGCAGAATCTTAAGATTTCTATGAAATGAAACACGTTCTAATCTTGAGTGATCAAATGAAAATAAGGAGTAATCAGGGTGACTAGCTCCCATCTCCAATTAAACGTTAGAAATATGAAGATAAAAAATGACAATAGAAGCTTAAAACATAATTTAACCCCTCAACAGAAAAAGAATAGAGTTGCTGACGATGTCCAAGAATTTCTAAAATTAAATTCATGTCAACAAAAATTGCCATAAAAGAATATGAGTCTTACAGGAAAATATTTTAAAAATATGTGTGTTTTAACATATAAACAATAAACTTACATTCTCTCAATGTAGTTAAGCAACCATCATTGGGTACAAAGCAGCAATTTTCTTTCCATTTTTGATCAGCTGCACACGAGCACATTTCTGTAGCAGAATGGGTTGTTTAGCCTCAATACCACTGCATAAGCCAGTTAACCATTTGTCAGGTTCAATTGTAAGCAAACCTGATTATAAAGAAACTCAAATATGAAGTAAGATGAGATCTCACATTTCTAAGGACTATGCCTTTGCATGGGATGAACCAGCAAATGGCTTTTTCCATTCATTCCAAGATTGGATTCTTATATGCCTTGTCAGCCCACCTCTGATTCCTGCGGTGGGTCTTCAGCTTACGACCAGCTCCCATACCCCGTGTCTTCCTGCATAAAACTCAAACCTTATTCGGTTATGTATTTTCTCCTGCAAATCCTAATTCCATAATACAAAAGAAATGTTGACAACGCAATACACAAGATGCCGCATAACCAATTACTTTTACGGTGGTGAAGACTAAGCTAGAGTCATGTCTAACATGCTGCCAGCATAAATGATGTTTTTGGCTATATCTCAGTCTAGCTATGCCAGTTAGTTCACATCCTCACCACCACTCACACATGAATAGAAATTAACCCTTAAATCTTGACAGTGTGATACTTGCAGATACAAACATATTCAAGGGCCAAATGAATCCTTCACCATATCATTTAAACTTTAATATTCATTTTGATTCAGCTTCAAACTAAGCTTCATAAATAAACAAGTTCAAAAGTGCACAGGAGATTGGCCTTTTTAACAATCAACAGAATTAATTCTTCGAAAAAGAGAAGAACTTGGCACTATAACTCCGAAGAAAGTAAGTGCCACCATCTTTTTGATTAATATACTAGCATTTAACCAACAAGCTATTATATGACAACCCAATAAATTGGATATTCCAACTCTAAATCTTTCTAAGCAAGAAAAGAGTAAAATAGAGATGAAATTTAAAAAAAGTCCATTTTAAGAACAAAGATTAATCATATTATTAACTATACTTTACTACTACTATTAAAAAATGAAACTAGTAAAATATCAGTCTGATACTAATAACCACATTGTTTCTATGTTCTAGAAGCTAAGTTATAATTTTACAGTAACCAAACAAATGAAGAGCAGTTGAAACTGAAGACTTAAAATGTCCAAAAAGCAAACGATAAACTCCATAGCAAAGCATCCAACAAGAGATAAAAGCATAATAAAGCCAGTAGAGTAAAGAGAAAACGAACCCCATTTTGGAAGATGAAGAAGTTGCTCTTAGAAGCTCTGGGAGTGGGAGTTGCGGTGAAGAGACGAGGCGGCTGATGGAACCCTAACCCTAACCCTAACGCGATTTGGTTCAGTATATATACACTAGCAGTTGTAGTCTGTTCTTTCATTTTTGGGAGTAGGGTTAGGGTTAGGGTTAGTTAGTTGACGGAATTAGTGCTTTTTTGTCAAAGTGTTGCTTTTTTCGTCAAATTACGAAATTAACTGATACTGCATACTGCTCAATTCTTTTATTTTTTTATTTTTTTTTTTACTAAAAGATATTAAAAATATGAAAAAACCCTTTCAGCAATTGTCTAAAACGAAAACGCAAATATTTTTGTTTAAAAACCTAATAAAAATGAAAAATATAAAATTTATCATTTCACATTTAATAAAATACATTTAAATTACTATTATTTATTCGTCTCAAAAATCTTATCTGTTAAAATTGTTTCATTTATAAAAAGAGAATAATAATATATTCACTGTTTATTCAATTTAATTTTTTAGAATAAAAAATATTTGTTTATTCAAATATATTTTTTTATATAAAAAAGATGGGTTGAGTAACTTGAGTTCTTTATTTTATTTTACTTTTTTGGCATACAGAAGTATCGGACCAGTTTACACGTACTTCAACTATTCCTTCGGGATCCTGAAGTTAACAGTCAGGTAAACTTCCAATGACTACTCATAATAGTCATGGGGATTCAAACTCAAGATCTTTTGAGTAATACACTCAGAGTTTTAAACGAACGCCAACTATCTAAAGTGGTTACTTGAGTTCTTTCCTCCACTCCGTTTTTTTCTCATTTCTCAAAACTAATCCTTAAAATGGTGAACAACAATTCGAGAGGCCTGAATTTTTGTTGTAATTGCATGAAATCTATTTTAAATAAATAATATAAAGACCCGAGTGTATACATTGTTAATTCTACAAATGTATTTTTTTTTTCAACAATTCATTTATTATAATTTTAATGTCAAAACTATTAAAACTTTATAAAAGATTAACAAAAAAACACAGTAAAATATATCTATAATTACAGAATTGAAGAAAGTGTATTGAAATCGTTGTGTGTGATATTTACTACTGAAAAATATCCCCATAATATATAATTTTGTAGAGTTATATTCTGCCCTATGTTCGCTTACTAAAAGATACTAATTACTAAAAAAGAGTAAAGAAAGTTTTATGAATTTGTAAGCTCGACTCCCAGAATAGAGATGACCTTGGGACCTTTTTCCGATCAACAGTTCCAAAAATCCAAAAAACTAGTTAAGATGCACATAAGGTCGGTAGGAAGTAAGGCACCTACTAGGGCTCCCCGAAAATAGGGTCAAAAGAGCCCAATTTTTTTATAATTTTTTTTGAATATATTACAAAAATAAAAATGTATATAATTTCTTATCAGGTTGGCTAAGGCCCAAAAAAAGCAACTAAAAAGACCTAAATTTATTATAAACTTTTTAATATATTCCCACCCAAAGTTTGACGAATAGCAGTTTGTACCTCTAATTTCATATATTTCAATTACACCTATAAATAACAAATTGAATTCTTTAACATGAAATACTAAAATGGTCATTTACATATCTCAAATTACTCACCCAATTCAATCCCAAAATTGACATTTACAAAATCATCTTCCCCTCTCTTTTGCGCTGATCGTTTGAAGCTGATTTCGGTCAATTTTCTCACCAAAATCGACCGGAATCATCACTTTATCATTTCCAAGTGTTTTCCCAGCCTATAAGCCCTCGATTTGGCCAATTTTTTACAAATCTAGCAACCCAACTCCAACACGTGCGACAACCATTTTTAGCCTTTTCAGCATGTACCTAGCGTTGTTGACCTTTTTGACACCCAATCTCCTCCCCTCAGTCCTCTCGCCAAAACTCCTATCATACTTCATCCATTTACTCCGCCAATGGCCAGTCACCGATACTTTTGGCCATAACTTCACAAGCTTTTCGGCAATCCTGCATTGGAAATCACCTATTTCACCACCTATCACTTCTCCAGCATTTGCTCTCTAAAACCCCCCACCAACTGACCTCGTTAGCCCACGGTCATCGTCCTCCTTTCTAGTGATTTGCATCACGAAAGGAAGAAAAAAAATTTAAAATAATTTGTTAATATATGGTTATATATTAGAAGGTCTCCAAAATAACTTAATATAGAGTCACACAATATTCTTGAGACAACCCTAGACGCACGTGATAGTAGGACAATAACAATAAATTGTCTGTATATAATTCTTAACAAAGTTGCATATTCTCAAAACACCAAAAATATGGACCTGAAAAACATTTGAATAATTCATCCTCTTCTTTTGGTAATTTCATTTTCAAAAATGCATTGATCACATTAACTATGGCCATTAGTTTAATAGTTTTTCTTCCACAGATGATATATATCGGGTTTCCAGTTTGTTTCAGTTTACCGATGCTGAAGGATCTCATTTCAGGTTCATGTTAACACACATACATCACATCTAAATGATCATATTATATATAAATTAAGAAAGAAGAAGAACAGATTCTCCATTTATTTACACCAAAATAAACATACCCAACATCACACCTATTACACTTCACAATTAAAACCCAAAACCATCTTATTTACTATCCAACTAACACATAAATTGCATATAATCCCAGGTATATATCCAATATTGTCAGCAACAGATCTATCCAAAAACTCCGCCGCAAAAAAGATTGGTGGCATGTGTAGGAGTTCTGGATCCTGAAGAGTTGTGTTTGGTAAATAAAGGATTTAAAAAGTGTGAAACACGTCTAATCCCTGAAATTGAAAAAAATATTTGGAGTTCTGCTGAATCAAACTCCCTGATAAATAGTGCTAGTTCCTCACTGGCAAGCCTGGAGATTGATTTGTTTGATGATTCAAAACCATCCGTATGTGAAATGAGTAATGCAACCAATGTTACGGCTTCTAGTTGCATATTGGGAAGAGAAAATGGCTTGCAAAATACCCAGTGTGAGTTCACTGCTGAGGAACTGAAAGTTCTAGCAAGATTTTTTTAATTTGCGGTTATTTTATATGATAATTAAGTAGTGGTGTTACTTCTTTTCAGGTATGAAGAAATTGGATGCTTCCTCTGCAGTGAAGGTAAGTCCTGATCATGGTGGACATTAGACAATCAATCTTTCTCTGATGCTTCTTGGATCATGATTTCATCATTTTGAAATTTCAGATGAAATCTTTAAAGAGGCAAAGTCCTTACAAAAACGTATCAGAAAGGAGAGCGAAGGTGGCTTCTCTTCCTCCACAAGCACAGGCATGTTGTTTATGTTTACTCACTCTTGTTTTTTCCTACCAAAAGGAAGTAATTGACTGAAATTGACATTGGTTACTTTGCTGTTAAATTAAATCAAGCAAGTTGGACGTGGAGGATATTGCAGTCCTTTATCAGCTCTTAAGCCACCAAAGGCATCAGTTCAGGTTAACTCTCCATTGATCACTCCCAGCAAAAGGGCATCTTCAGGTTCAAATAATATCACAATGGAAAGTAAAGCTAAAAAAAGTGCACCAGGTATGCATTCCATGAGCTCAAATTCAACTTTCTGTCTTTTAACTGTAAATTTTGTTCAACTTTAAATGACTCTTACAGGGCAACATATGATTGCATCAAAGAGACCTTGTCTGCGAAAATCATCCCCAAAATCACCTTCTTTGAGCTCACACACTCCCATGAATAAGTCTGCAGGACTTGGCGCAGCTAAATCTGATTCTGCTTCTAGATCTTCTCAAAACCCTCTTAGTAGAAAAATTGACTCCAGACTTCTTTCTTCTGGTTCACCCTCTCCTTATAGAAATTTACATGGAAACAAAATTCAGCTTCTAAATTCTAGTCGCCCTTCTCATTTATTGTCCTCCCTCGAGTCCTCTCGGACATCACCTTCTAGCTCCATTAATATGTGGTCCTCTGAGTCATCTGCTTCTATCAATCAAAGATCTATCAGCTCCACAGGAAGTCTGGATAACACTTGTGAAGAGAATTCTTCTGATCATGATTTCTCTCATGCATTGGATTCTGAGCGCCATATCTGTGATCGAAACTGCTTTACACAAGGAGATCGGGACAATAGGTTTGTGAATCAACATGCTAAGACAAACTCCATGCGAAATAGTTCTGTTCTTGCTAATATCTCAAAAAGCATCAAACCTTCAAGCCTTCGGATGCCATCACCAAAGATTGGTTATTTTGATGCGGTTTGTTTTACTTTTACTTATTTAGTAATGAATCCATTTAGAATTTCATTCAACTAAATTCAATTCAAGCTAATTGGTCAATTCTTTTTTTGACTGACAGCAATATTCTGTAGCACTGACACCAAAGGGAGATATGAGGTTTCATTGTGGAGTACACAGCAGTTCCTCTAAAACCGGCAGTGGTGTAGCTAACCACAATGGAGTTGCCACTAGAACAATGCGTGGCAAGCTTCAACAGTGGGGAACTTTATCAGAGATTGATTCTCAGAAAACTGCAGGATTATGTCATCCTTTAGGCAACAGTCTTTGTGGTTCTGCCTCATCCAAAAAAGATAAGGTAAATAGAGGATTTATGAACCTTAAAAAGGGCATGAAGAGAAACGGTCAAGACAGTCAAAGAACGACAAAGAATGAAGATGCCAACAAACAGTCTCCTCTACATATACTTACTGATGATGACAAGGAAAACTTATGGAGCTTTCATAATCAAGTGGAAAATTTAAGCAAACATATTGAAGCCATTAATTTCAACTAGGATCTGGAAATATAGCTGAAAGCAGAAAAAAGATACCTCACCTAGTTTAAGTTTTGGCATCAATAATCCTCAAAACCATTGTTCATCAGGAGCATTTTAGCGCCTAACCATCCACAACAAAGTGAGATTTTACACCGACCCATGGCTTCTGCGACCAACTGACAATCATGTAGTGTATTTGTTGAACAAATTGGTTGATTGTGCTGCCAGCAGATTTAAGAAAAGAAATGGTAATAAAGAAATTATAAACTAGAGACAGTGTTTGGTGACGCCATTTTTCAAAAATATTTATCAGTTCATTACATTAGGTGCCTGCATTTTGTTTCAAAATCAAGAGGGTCATTTTTGCTGTCATATGTTTGGAAATGCCGAATTTTTCATTTCATGTTGGATGATAAGTAACTAATTAGCAAAAATATCCAATATTTCGTACCATCATATCACACCTATGTAGAACAGCCTCATCAAGCACATTTAACACTTTACAGATAGCTAATTATAAGTTTTGTTCTTTGACAAATAGATGGTGTTGATTTAATAAATTGAAATTGGTCAGAAAAGTTCTCTACAACAAAATTGCAGCTGTCATTTATATAAATGGCAAATCGGCAGTTCAGGGCATGATAAACTCATACAATTTTCTATGACCTTGGCTTCTCCTTCTTCTCTTTGAAGAGGGCCAGAAGAGAGACACCAGATACTTTCACAACCTTGAATCTAACTCCAGGAATATCTCCTACTGCATGCCCCTTTCGTCCAAATCCTGCAATCAGCACCTCGTCCTGCTCCAACCACATCAAGCACTCATTTTAGTCTAATATGTAAAGAAAATTCAATACCAAATATAGCAGAATCTTTAAGATTTCTATAAAATGAAACACGTTCTCAATCTTGAGTGATCAAATGAAAATAAGGAGTAATCATGGGTGACTAGCTCCCATCTCCAATTCAAACAGTTAAGAAATTATGAAGATTAAAAAATGACATAGAAGCTTAAAACATAATTTAACCCCTCAACAGAAAAGGAATAGAGTTGCTGACGATGTCCAAGAATTTCTAAAAATTAAATTCCATGTCAACAAAATATTGCCATAAAAGAATATGAGTCTTACAGGAAAAATATTTTAAAAATAATGGTGTTTTAACATATAAACAATAAACTTACATTCTCCTCAATGTAGTTTAAGCAACCATCATTGGGTACAAAAGCAGCAATTTTCTTTCCATTTTTGATCAGCTGCACACGAGCACATTTTCTGATAGCAGAGTTGGGTTGTTTAGCCTCAATACCACTGCATAAGCCAGTTAACCATTTGTCAGGTTCAATTTGTAAGCAAACCTGATTATAAAAGAAACTCAATATATGAAGTAAGATGAAGACCTCACATTTTCTCAAGGACTATGCCCTTTGCATGGGATGAACCAGCAAATGGCTTTTTCCATTCATTCCCAAGATTGGATTTCTTATATGCCTTGTCAGCCCACCTCTGATTCCTGCGGTGGGTCTTCAGCTTACGACCAGCTCCCATACCACGTGTCTTCCTGCATAAAACTCAAACCTTATTCGGTTATTGTATTTTCTCCTGCAAATCCATAATTCCATAATACAAAAGAAAGTTTGACAACGCAATACACAAGATGCCGCATAACCAATTACTTTTACGGTGGTGAAGACTAAGCTAAGAGTCATGTCTCAACATGCTGCCAGCATAAATGATGTATTTTGGCTATATCTCAAGTCTAGCTATGCCAGTTAGTTCATCATCCTCATCCACCACTCACACATGAAGTAGAAATTAACCCTTAAATCTTGACAGTGTGATACTTGCAGATACAAACATATTCAAGGGCCAAATGAATCCTTCACCATATCATTTAAACTTCTAATATTCATTTTGATTCAGCTTCAAACTAAGCTTCATAAATAAACAAGTTCAAAAGTAGCACAGGAGATTGGCCTTTTCAACAATCAACAGAATATAATTCTTCGAAAAAGAGAAGAACTTGGCACTATAACTCCGAAGAAAGTAAGTGCCACCCATCTGTTTTGATTAATAATACTAGCATTTAACCAACCAAGCTATTATATAGACACACCAATCAAATTTGGATATTCCAACTCTAAATCTTTCTAAGCAAAAAAAGAGTAATTAACTAGAGATGAAATTTAAAAAAAGTCCATTTTTAAGAACAAAGATTAATCATATTTATTAACTATACTTTACTACTACATATTAAAAAATGAAACTAGTAAAATATCAGTCTGATACTAATAATCACAATTGTTTCTTATGTTCTAGAAGCTAAGTTATAATTTTACAGTAACCAAACAAATGAAGAGCAGTTGAAACTGAAGCACTTAAAATGTCCATAAAGCAAACGATAAACTCCATAGCAAAGCATCCAACAAGAGATAAAAGCAATAATAAAGCCAGTAGAGTAAAGAGAAAACGAACCCCATTTTGGAAGATAGAAGAAGTTGCTCTTAGAAGCTCTGGGAGTGGGAGTTGCAGGTGAAGAGACGAGGCGGCTGATGGAAACCCTAACCCTAACCCTAACGCGATTTGGTTCAGCTATATATACACTAGCAGTTGTAGCTCTGTTCTTCTTCTATTTTGGGGATTAGGGTTAGGGTTAGGGTTAGTTAGTTGACGGAATTAGTGTTGCTTTTTTCGTCAAATGTGTTGCTTTTTTCGTCAAATTACGAAATTAACTGCATACTGCATACTGCTCAATTCTTTTATTTTTTTATTTTTTTTTTTACTAAAAGATATTAAAAATATGAAAAAACCCTTTCAGCATATTTGTCTAAAACGAAAACGCAAAATATTTTTGTTTAAAAACCTAATAAAAATGAAAAATATAAAATTTATCATTTCACATTTAATAAAATACATTTAAATTACTATTTATTTATTCGTCTCAAAAANGGTCAATTATTTGCATCATCCCAAAAGGAAGGTGATGTTCGCGCACAAGAGGAGATGCTTATGCAGAAGAGTAACAATGTGGTCAGTGCAGCTGCCAGTAGGAATATTTTCCAGTTGGTTTGGGGCAATTGACTACTGTGGGTCTCCTACGGCCAAAAAACCAAGTTGCAGGTCATGAAGCTCGATTTTTGCAGGAGCAAAAGCCATCTGCATCTTTGTTATGGATGCTTGACGTTCAGTGGCAAGAAGATGGATAGCTTTGTATATGTACTTTTGCAGAGCATTTGACGTGGAGCAGCAATTTTTGTATGTATTCCACTAGTTCAAAACTGGCCATGTTTTACAAAAAATGTGCATATGGTAATTACAGCAATCGATATAACTTATTTTAACTGTATAATTGAGTTCAACCCTTTTACTTGGATTCTTGTCTTTAACATTGTATGTTGAGTGAACGACATTTTCCCACCTAAGGTTTGACTAAACTACATTTTTTCACTCGAAAAGTTTCAAAATGGCATTTTCCCACTTATCGTGAAGATCTGTTAGTAAAATTTGTTAACTGACATAGGATAAACACTTAAAGACAAAAATACCCTTCTCTATTCTTCTCTTTCGTCACCTCTCTTCTCCTCTTTTCTTCTTCTTCTTCTTCACTTTTCTTCTTTCTTCTCCTTCTCTCCTCCTTCTCCTCCAACACCAACACCAACGCCACCACCCAGATCTGGTACGATTGGCTTGATATGGTTGGAATCGCACTCGGCCAGGTGCAATTCTGGTCGAGTTGCACTTACACACTAAAATCTGCAGAGCTACATGCCGCATTTAAAGCACATTAATATCCAGGCAACATCTCCACATTCTGCTTTTATGTCCTTCAAATGTACCAATCCAATCCCCAGTCTCCCCATTTCTCAATATTGGACTAGAATCTAATTTAAAAGAACATCATTATAAGTCAAAAACTAGTTACCAAACAATCTTACAAACTGCAAAAACCATTCATAATCCTCTATAGCATCATTTCTCATAAACAAATTCACTTAAGTAACAGCACAATCTTGAACCATCACTTATAAATTTCTAATTAAAAAAAAATTAAAAACAAACAAAAATTCAAAGCAAACCCAAATCAGAACAAGTCGAGACTAAACAATGACAATTCAAACGAGGTGGCGAAGGAGAAAGAAGAAAAGAGAAGAAGAGAGAAGCGTATTTTTATCTTTACACTATTTATACTATGTCAGTTAACAAATTTTATTAACAGATCTTAACGATAGGTGAAAAAGTGTCGTTTTTGAAACTTTTCAGTGTCGTTTGGCCAAACCTTGGATGGGAAATTGTCGTTTACTCTTGTATGTTATTACTAATTTTATATAATCATTTTATGGTACAGATATTTTGAATTTTGTAATGTGCGAATTAAAGGTTGGTGACTAGTAGTTGGTTCAACAAAATGCAAGAAGCAAACCCAGCGATTAGTCAGTAACCCTTTTTCCGTATGCTAAAAATTTTAGGATTCATAAATTTTTAATCCTCCAAGGTCTGACATAAAATTTGCATTATAATTTATTGAGTATTAACAGAGAGATTACATGATGTCTATGGATGGAGTTCCTGTAAATCCCATCTCTTCCACTTTTTATCTGTATATTCATCTATCTATTTAATTTATCTCTTAATAATTCGGAAACTATCTCCAACTTTTCTTGTATCTGCATCTACAAACTGCAACAGTGAAGAAAATCAGTAGGGTGAAGTCAAATAACAGGAAAATCTTAGAAATAACAGTTATCAGTACAGACCTCTAATTTCATCTCTTCCTTTGTAGAATGACCTCTTAGGTACCCGAATTTCGATATCCTTGACAAGCTCCAGATCTCCTGTCAATGAACATATAAAATAACAAGATTACCTTTATCAATAAAAGGAGCTAAAATTTCATATATGATGAATGTGTGGGAAATGGGAATGGGAAGAAAGGAATCTAATTACATTATTTGTGAACTTGTCCAATTTGAAGCCTGCCATGCCAATTACAGCTTGTACTGGTGCTTTGTAATTACTATGATCGTATGTGTCTGTCCCGTTTGCATCTTTCGTAGGCATGGCGAGGCAAGTACTTTGAAAAACTGAGCAGGTTCTCTCATAATTATGAACATGGCCGAAGAGCACCAGATCAACCTGTTTCATTTTACCAAATAATACTATCAGCATTCAAACAAAGCCAATATTTGATGAAAGTAAAATACTGCTGGATATAAAAAGCTGACCTTGCTTTGAAGAAGTAATGGTTCCACCTCATGAACAAAGAACTTATCCACATTCAGCAGTCCACCAGAAGAAGAATACATTGGCCGGTGCCTGCATTTTGCAAATGTTTCACTTAACTAGTGTTCATTGAAAACTAAAATCAGCTGTGTAATGTAAAATCCGACCTACTTACCCTGTAAAAATTAACCAAGGGGTTTTTGATCGATCGACCGAAGCCATATCCTTTTTCATCCATTGATACTGAAGCAATATGGTGTTGCAGTTCCATGAATGAGTGTAAAAACTCAAAAATAATGGATGAGAGAAGTAGTGATTGTATATTAAATTTGAGTACCTGTTCAGAATTGAGTGACCAATCATGCTCAGTTGATATCACTGTGAAGTGAACAGGACCTTGTTCAATGGAATACCATGGCTTATCCTTTGCTGGAGTTGGCATTGGAAAATATGTCTCATAAGGAACTCCACATTCTCCACCTGAATCAGGAGTAATGTACACTGATCCTGAGTCTATGTAATCCCTGAAAAATGTTTGGGAAAACAAAGATCATAATTTAAGGAATTTGCAAATTGAATATTCTTCAGTAATAGAACAATTAAAGATACCTCTCATGGTTTCCAATTGCAGTCATGTAAGGAACTCTTGAAGCCACAGGGCTTATGAGATGGAGGAAATAGTCCCATTCCACCAAGAAGCCTGTTGCATAGCTTATGTCTCCAATGTGGAAGATCGAGTCTACATTGCCATTATCTATTTCTTCAGCCATGGCTTTTATCACTGAGAGAGATCCTGGCTATATGTGCATTTCATCTAATTAAAATTTCTCGGATAAAGACCTTAAGTCCGGACTGAAAATGCGGATTAACAGAACTTTTAACTACTGCCAACAACCAACTCTAAAACCAACTCTAAAACCAACCTGTATGTAGTGTTCAGTAGAAGCATCACGAGGAGCTTTTCCCATATCACCATATGCAAGAAACTTGAGTTCATTTGATCCTCCAGCAGGTGGAGTCCGGAACTTGATTTGCTTACTCCAACCAACTGATTTACTGCATCATCAACAAACGGATCATTGCTCCATTCATGAGCTCTAGAATTAATTAATAATATTCAGAATATGTATTACCTTCCATATCTGTAGGAGAAGGTAGATGAAGGCTGAAGCCCTGTCATGACTGCTGAATGAATAAATCCAGGATCATGCCACCCAAAATCCTTGGCTGGACTTGGCAAAACGGAGCCTATATATCAATTTCACAACAACCACATTCTCTTTAATTGGCAAAATGGATTGGTGGCTAGTAATGAGTTCATAAATAAAGAATGCATACATTTCTCTATGATGAGGCAGGCAAAACTTTGAATCAAGTTATGGAAAAATAGTAGAAAACAGTGGCAATATTATATGGCAAGACTAATCGAGGAACTCACTACACATATTATCTTGTGTAAATGTAGAAACTTGTGATGTCAGTGTTTTTCCATCTCCGTATTCTACTTGTTGAGGTTCTTTATCCCCACTAACCCATCTTAATCTTATCTGCAGATTTTGAAAACAATCATCCATGATACTACATAGCTTTTTCAGCATTTTCACCATAAATTGATAGATTGTATGTTAAATAAATCAGTACGTCCGCATGTGAGGAGTTTTTAAGAATATTAACACAAATACTGTATAAATGCGTGGCTGCTTACCGACTTTCCAGTGGAATCAATGGTGGAGAGATGTCCATGTAAAGGGGTTTTAGGATCAGCGAAACTGAGAGGAGAAGTTCTACTCAAAATGCAAGGTATATCGAAGCCACCGGCAAACAACACAAATTCAATGTCAGTTCTGATGTTAATGACATGAAATGTTATTGCACCACTGCAACCACTAATCTCACATGTCCCTTCATTGTTATATTTCATGCATTCCTTCTTCTTGCAACTTAGATAATCTGGATCATTGCTCATCCACTGTGCCTGCATATATCCAAACTCATATTAATTTTTTTACCACTTTTTCTATTCCTTTTAACTATAACATTCATGGAACATAGATATATCATATATATGAGGTGACATGTCGTTTCACCATTTTTGGATACTCCTCCTATTATGTAATATATTACTGATACGTTCAGCTAACATACATTCATAAACAGTAATAAACATGTGGAATGAAGGCTTGGTGGGCTAACAAAATTCCATCAATCAATCTGTTACATTTAACATGTTGTGTATACTCTAAATGAAACCTACATTTACACGTCAAATAAAACATAAAAGTAGACTAAAGATAATGTTCCTCCATAATATTCTACTAGCCAGCATAAATTTATGAATATTAGGCACAGCGTATGGGCAATGTCACTTCCATCTTAAATCATATATACATAGGACAGCGTCCTTGGAAATCATAAGCAGTTTGGGTTAATACCATGAATAACCACGGTAGAATTCTTCAAAGAATACAACTCCTAATAGAGTTTGAGTTAATACCATGAATAACCGCTGTAGAATTCTTTAAAGAATACAACTCCTAATAGAGTTTGGCTTAAGAATAGGAATCCTAGTAGTTTAAGGTTTCTCTTCATAGACTTAGTATATAAATAAATTCATTGTAATGAGAGAAGTGAAGAAACATTACAATAATATTGATTTTACAGGACACAGACGTAACCCCATCTGCGTCCGGTTTATAATTTATTTTCTTCCAAACTCTCTTCAGTTATTTCATTAAAGTCACCTAATTTCTCTTCCACAAAACGTTGCTCTCTTTCTGTCTAATCAATTTCTATGAACATTAACGTAATTTTCACATGCTTAAACTGTTTTAAATTAATTTCTTAATCAATATCATGCAATAAAGGAAATGTACTGCATGCAAAACAGTGAATGTGTTTCTTTAATGATATCAAGTTTAATTGCATTACCTTAACGGGATAATGGCATAGAAGAGGAAGTTTGCTAAGATCACCAGTTTGTGCATAAAGAAAACCATTCAAGGGACATCCTGCAACACTGCAACAAATCAAACTAATGAAATTAGAAAAAAACTTGTTTGATAGTTTGTATGTTCTGTCTGTCCAATCACGTCGTTGTGTATCATCTTAATTGTTGCAGATTATATACCGAAAACTTTTCATAAAATACGATTCTTACTCAGAATGAGAAGGTGAGATCATGGCAACCCAGTGATCCTTGGACGGACGCAAAACGCCGCTAACAGTTACTGTGACAAATTCTTCATCAGAAAGCATATTGGAACCTGAACTAACATTAATACGGAGAAAAGGGTTCTTGACAGGACAATCCAATAAAGCTCTTCTATTCACTACTCTAAACTTTGATATTGCTGTGTAATTCCGGTGTTGAATTGTTGAGTTGACGATCAAAGAATCCAGCGGCAGTGACCAAGAACAACCAAAAAATAAAAAAATAAAAACAAACAAAAGGAAAGAGAATTTCAAAGGCTTCATTGGAGGGAAGAAGGAACAAAGGCTAATTCTTCTACACATGTCCAGGACACAGACAGCAAAGATGAATGAAATTATGTTTGAGAAAATTTCGGCATTTAAGGAGTAAATAATTATGGCAATATCTTCTCCAAACCATGTGTTTTTGATTTCATATTTATGGCTTATCTCCATGCCCAAGTCCATTTCATTACGTGGGGGATTATGGTTTCTTGGCGTATTGCTAAAGAGTGGTTCCTAACTGAATAACTGTCTGCCACTTTCTTTTTCTTTACGTTTCCATTAAAGAAATATTATCCACTGTACATGATATAAAAAATTGAAATTTATATCTCTTTTGTTCTTTTCATAAACACTGCATATACAAGAGAGATTATGATTAATTCAGTCTGTCATTTTAAATATCTGTTTTGCTTCCTGGTGATGCGGAAGCTGTCTTCAACTTTACTTGTATCCGAATTCACAAACTGCAAAAAATCAAACATTAATAAGAATAACATACACATTAACATTGTTTATTATATTGTGCTATATTGAAAATAGTTGTGAATTGAGTAGACTCTGTGCACCAGCCGACTGACCTCTAATTTCATTTCTTCCTTTGTTGCATGTCCTCTTAAGTACCCAAATTTGGAAATTCTTGACAGACTCCAGCTATCAGCCTGTTAATGGATAACAGAATGACAAAATCCATAAAGAAAAATAGCAAAATAAATATGTATATGGAAAAGTCTTTAATGGGTCAGATGCATATGTACTATCCAATGAATGAATTGAGTGTTGGAGTTGTCGACCACTTCAGCATTAATGGGTCACGCAGACGCATTTAAGGGTCTTGTTAAATAGAAATCCTTGTAATACTAGATTTTAGTCTTTTTAACCTAGTATATAAATATATTTTTCTCTTGTAATAAGTGATAGTAAATAATAGAGCAAATTCATTTATTGTAAACGAGAGAGGTGAGACAGTATTGCAATAATATTGACTTAGTTGGACGTAACCTGTTAATTAGGTCAATCAGGGTAAATCGCACGTATTTCTTCTTTCTCTTTACTGTTTGTGATTTGTGTATTTACTGTTATCTTGGTTTCGTATTAGTCTCTATTCCGTTTACAGGTTAGGTCTTGTTTTACCGAAGAATTTCTACTATGAATAGATATATGATATATTTAACACTTACAGTGTCAGGGAACTTGTCCAAGCTGAAGCCAGCCATGCCAATAACAGCTTGAACTGGTGCACTGTAGTTGCTGTGATCGTATGTGTCTATCCCCTCATCTTTGGTAGGCATTGCCAGGCATTTACTTTGATAAATTGAGCAGGTTCTCTCATAGTTATGAACATGGCCAAACAGAACCAAATCGACCTAGTTCATATTCATATTTCCCTCATTAATTAATGCTAGTCATGGAATTTTTTAAGAGCAAGAAAACAGAGCCTTATTTGATCTCAGTATTCAAGCCACAGAGGCTCACCTTGTTATCCAGCAGTAATGGCTCCACAGCATCAAGAAAGTTCTTGTCAACCCCAGATCCTGTAGAACTATACATTGGCCTGTGCCTGCATTTCACAAATTTGTACTTAACTGTATTCAGTAACACCTAAAGCAAATTGGCTGGTCTTTAAGCATTACTGGCATAAAGCTGTTAATGAAACTAATTGTTAAGTAGACCTCAGTTAACTTACCCAGTAAAAATTAACCAGGGGGTTTTCGATCGATCAACCGAAGCCATATCTTTTTTCATCCAATCATACTGGTTAAACCATTGTGAAATCAGCAAGGTTCTAGATTATAGAAAAACCTTCCATTGTAAATCAGAATAACAAATTAGATTACCTGTTCAGAATTTTGTGACCAATCATGCTCAGTAGATATTACTGTGAAGTGAACACTTGCTTGTTCTATGGAATACCATGGCTTGTCCTTGGCTGCGGTTGGCATCTGAAAATAAGTTTCATAAGGAATTCCACATTCTCCACCGGAGTCTGGAGTAACATACACTGACCCTGTCCCCGTGTAATCCCTGAACAAGAGAATCAAAATCATGCATAAAAACCTTTTTTGTTCATTTGTTGATACTGTGTAGCGAGAACAAGAAAATTACCTTTCATGGTTTCCAATTGCAGTCATGTAAGAAACCCGAGCAGCCAAGGGGCTTATAAGGTTGAGGAAGAAATCCCATTCAACTAAGAAGCCTGTTGCATAGCTTATATCACCAATGTGGAAGATGGAATCTACATTGCCATCCTCTACTTCACTGGCCATGGCTTTGATCACCGACAGTGATCCTGGCTATACTTGTCATAGAATTCAAATTACTGGGTTACCTCAAATAATCACTGAGTTTGAATTTAGTATAATCGAATTTATGGTACCTGAATGTAGTGTTCTACGGAAGCATCACGAGGAGCCTTTCCCATGTCACCAAATGCAAGAAATTTGAGTTCATCGGATCCTCCAGCAGGGGGAGTCTGGAATTGGATTCTATCACTCCAACCAACTGAATCACTGAATTAAATTGAAAATTTTGAGTAAAAGGCTTTCTAATCAACAGGGGTGCATTTCTTGCAAACTCAGAGCAAGCCAACAGATTTAAACTAGTCAGAGAAAAGAAACTAACTATGATCAAATGTCGTAAGTTCTGCTACTTATTGTCAGGCTACTATACATTGTATGATTCACTATTTTAATTATCTAATTCTTCCATAGTTGAAATTGGATCTCTTGGGTCCGAATTCATCTTTTGAGAAATGGAAGCATTTGGGCCATTAACATTCCCCAAAATTGTACATGGTCTGGAAGCACATCCTCAAAAATAGGGAAATGGCTAAAAAGAATATCAAGTATGTCATTGGCAATGGTAACACCACTTCTCTTTGGTTTGATAATTGGCACCCAAAGGGTCCCTTTATTTGCACCTAAAGGGATAGGATTATTTATGATACAAGGATTGCTAAGTATGCTAAGGTGAGTGTTGTGATTGGTGTGTGTAATTGGAAGTGGCCAATTAGAGGAAGAAGAGCAAACTCTTGGCTGCTTATTGACACGAGACACTCCGTGAATTTCATACCTTCTAGTGTTCAGGACAAGCTTTGTTGGCAAACTTCACCTTTGGGGTATTTCTCTAGCAAATCGGCTTGGGAGGAGATTAGAGGAAGAAGAGAAAAAGTTGATTGGTGAAACTTGGTGTGGTTCTCAAAGGCTATTCCAAGATACTCTATGATATCATGGATGGCTATTAAGGAGAGATCGCCTACAAAGGACAAGTTGATGAGGTATTGTGCTACTACTAATGCTCATTCTTGTTTTTGTAACTCAAGTATGGAATCTCTTGACCACTTTTTTTTGCATGCCCCTTTTCTAAATCTATTTGGAGTAAAATCCTTATGCTCGCTGACGTCGACTATGTGGTTAGACCTTGGCATGATTACATCTCCCATTTGGCTAGGAAATGGAAAGGTAAGAGTCTAAAAGTCATCTTGGGTAGGATTTGTCTACGGGCTACGGTGTATTGGGTTTGGAGGGAGCGAAATTGTAGGATCTTTGGGGAAGAGTGCAAGGATTCTCACACTATTATCGATACTATCAAAAGTGTGGTGAGAGACAAAGTCATGGAACTTAGCAATAATCTTCCTATAAAAATAGGAAGTTGGCTGACACATGGGAACTTCCTAGAACCATCTTCAAAAACACCTATTCCACTCCCAACATTATTGGAGACCATGTGATCGGGTGAGATGTTGTTCTTTCGATGAGAGACCTACCAAGTTGCTCGTTGTTTTGTGAAGTTTTTTCTGCTGTGCATCCTCACTCTCTTTGTTTCTCTGCTTTGAGTCTTCTTTGTGTTTCATTGTATGTGTTTTGGAGCCAAACCCAAGGGATTGTCCTGAGGATGGTGTCTTGTTGTTGATTTCTTAGCTAGATTCTTTCTCTTGGGTCTTATCTCCCATGTTGGTTTAGATAGGCTCCCAAGAGAATTATGTAGTGTCAAGCTTAGGCTTTTATTTATTTTTGCACCCTACATGAGGGATGTCCCGATGTAGGTTGGCCACCTTTTTTGTAGGCCTTTGTAAATCCTTTTTCTTTTAATACAATTTACTTAGCAAAAAAAAAAAAATTGGAAGATTCATAGAGATGAAACATGAAATGCCATACCTTCCATAACTATAGGAAAAGGTTTTTGAAGGCTCAAGTCCTGTCATGACTGCTGTATGAATGTAACCAGGGTCATGCCACCCAAAGTCCTTGGCTGGGCTTACTAAAGTTGAACCTATCCAATTCACAGTCACACGATAGTAATAACTAGTAAGGTATGGAGCACCACAGAAAAAAGAAAAAGACTTCAGGTAAATCAATGAACCAAGCTCAACCCGAACAGATATTTTGAGACTCTATCTTTGATATTTATTTGTGGAAAGGATTGAAATTTAAATGGAACTCACTGCACATATCATCTTGTGAAAAGGTAGAAACTTGTGATGTCTCTGATTTTCCATCTCCATATTGAACTTTCTGAGGTTCCTTATCTCCACTTACCCAAGTTAATCTCATCTGCTCCAATATATATAAAATTTTCAGCATGAACTCAGGAAACTTGTAGAGATTCTTGGGTAATGAACCAAATTAATAAGTTAAACTTTTGGTTACCGACGTTCCAGTAGAGTCTGTGCTTGAGATATGTCCATATAAAGGCTTATTTGCATTCGCAAAATTGATAGGTTTCGATCGACTCAAAATGCAAGGTGTCTCAAATCCAGCAGCAAAGAACACGAATTCAATGTCAGTTCTGATGTTAATGACATGAAAAGTTATTGAACCACTACATGTAGTCACCACACATTCGCCATTGTTATATTTCTTGCATTCCTGCTTCTTGCAACTCAGATAATCTGGATCCTTGCTCATAAACTGTGCCTGCAATTTTAAAAGCTCTCATTTAAGACAGTCTTTTCAGTTCTTCACCAACTGAAAGTCGAAAAGAATCAGGATCTTGTGACATATATTTATTAGTCTAAATTTAATTTTTATTATTAATTTTCAATTTTATATTTGTATTTACTCAAGTAAAATTAAAATTCGATATATTAGAATTGGATTAGACACCCACCCATAGGTGGCCTAACGGTAATGGTGAACCAAGGGGCCACTGCATAGCTTTAACCTACAGTCTCAGGTTCGATTCTTCGTTAGGTGAAAAGGTAATACATTCTTCCATGATTTAGTGTTTTATATATAAATAAGGTTCACGTCCGATAATAACTTGACATTAAGGTTAGTATTAATTTCTCATTCATCTTGCTTAAATTAAAGTTAGACAACCTTATTCTATCTATTCGTATGATACAATATAATTTTCCCTTGGCTAGCTATGCCACAGCTGCATCTACATGGTAACTGTCAGATGTGTTGAATCATTGTCGCTTAGTGGCTGAATTCATGACTTAGGGTGTGATTGGTTAGGGCTTTGGAAAGATAACTTCGGTAATCTATCTTTAATTCTGGATATTCCTTTATTTGGTTGTCAAATAATAAAATATTTTGGTAATCTTTTAATACCATAGTGATCACTGGGGGTTAAATAAGGGATAATCAGATTATCTCCTCAGAGGGTGATATTTAAAGATTATTGGAGTAATCTTAATTTTATACCCATTTTGCCCTTAATTAAATACCATTCTAGACACAATTATCCTCAAATGTCTACCAAATAACAATAAACCCAGATCCCCTACATTTTAGAATTTAGCTAAAATACGCCAGCCACAAAAAGTTTAAAAGTTAACAAAATAACCCCAACCACCAAAGACCACCGCTAGCTACCAACCACCATCGTCGGCCACCAGAAATAGTTGCCATATTGATGCACGACCGATAGGATTTGGCCGACCGTGCGCCGATCTGGTTGTTTTCGACTAGATCAAAGGCCGAAAACGGTTAGATCGCCGTGGATCTGCCTTGAAACAGCCAAAATAGATCGACCATTTGTGGCCATTTTTTACCAGATCCACGACGATCTGATTGTTTCAGCCTTTAATTTGGTCGAAAAAAGCCAAATCAGTATGGATCTGGCTGGAAACAGCCAGATCCAAAGTGATCTAACTATGTTTGGCCTTCAGTCTGGTCGAAAACAACCAAAACGGCACACAACTATCCTGATCTCACCTGTTGTGCTCTGTTTTGGTGACTAACGCCGGTGGCCAACGGTTGGCAGCGGTCTTGGGTGGCTGAGGGTATTTTGTTAAAATTTAAACTTTATTATTAGGGGTGTTTTGGTTAAATTCTCAAATATAGGGGGTTAAAGGAATTTATTTAAATAATAATAATAATATTATTATTATTATTATTAACAGTATTATTATTATTATATTAAAAAGGAAGGGTAATTCAGTAAAAGCTTATGTCGATAATATTTTATTTTATACCCACTAATCTAATTAAACATATTGGTATAACATTTCCCCATAATCTTTAAGGTAATCTATGTCGGAGATAATCCTACCTTTTGAGCAATAAAACATTCTCTGAACCAAAACGCATATCTATATTCATGCTCATATTAAACTCCTCTTTTATATCCAAATTTGACAGAAAAATTTTGTTACCTTCACAGGATAATGGCAGAGAAGGGGAAGGCTACTTATGTCACCAGTCTGCAAGTAGAAAGCCTCGCTTAAAGGACAACTTGACACACTGATACAATCAACAATTAATTTAGATTAATCCAAAAATAATTAACCAAACACAAGATATAATTTAATAATAATTAATATGTTAATTTCTTACTCAGCATTCGAAGGGGAGATCATGGCAACCCAATCACTTTCTGCAGGAAGCAAAACTCCACTGACAGTCACCGTCACAAACTCTTCATCAGAGAGGTCAGAGCTTTTGCTAACATTAACCTGGAGATAAGGGTTGGGATCAGGACACTCCGTCAAAACTCTTCTGTTCAGCACACGAAACGCAGATATGGCGGTGTGGTTACGGTGTTCATAAACCGAGTTGGCAACAAAAGGATGCAACAACGATGAACAAAAACCAGGAAAGAACAAAACCAAGAAGAAACACAACAGTTTCAGAAAAACCCTGTTGGAAGAAACAATGGAGGGTGCCATTGCATGCAGTGATTCGGAATCAAGAGACATAATTGTGACAAATTTATTTATACATATATATAATAAGAATAAGATTACAAAAACATTGTAACACACATCAGGGCGAATATTACGTGGTTGATTATAACTGTCACTTTTGTCTCCTTTGTATAAATGATTAGCATGATCATTGGTTAACAAATAATTAATTGAATTCCTTCCTTAATTAACTTGAAAAAAGATGAGTTCAGAGAGAGCTGTCATGGCTACGTATGCGGTGATCAGTTTTCTTCCCGTCAATTTCGTTTGATTTAACTGGTTTAAATCTTCCAAACATGATGAATAGAGGCAGAAAAGCAATCTTATTGTCGTATAGATATATACATGATGAGTCGTTTTAAGGAGTTAATTAGTGCCACTTTTGGTGATGATCTGCAGTGCCGTGTTTTAGAAGTTCAGAATACATGTCAAATAAGTGAAGTTTGAACGTACGTAACCTCGGCTTTTCTAGTTGCCGTTCCCATTTGGCAGCTCCTACAGGTTTAGTGTCAATAATTTCCCAATTAGTCAGTTCACATTTGATTTCTGAAAATTCAGTGATGATATGTGTTCATGCAGTAATTTACACCAACCAGAGGTGTGTCCGTAATCTAGACAGATCGGCAATGAAGTGATACGTCTTTACAAGAGTTTATAATAAAGTTTATATAATATCAATTACATAGTTGAGTTAGAGGTAAACTCGAATTCAATAAAACAGTAAAGAGAGTGATCTTTGGCTTTGAATGATGGAACCCATATGGGAAGGTATCTTCATACCAAAAAAGGATTTATCCACTCACGATTTCCCACGCAACAATATGCATACCCAATCGAATATTCTATAATCTATTCCATTTAAGTTTATATTTATATATTTAATTTATTTTGTTGGCTAAAAGTTAAAAATGCAGCCTTACTAGCAACGTTAACGCCCAGCTATTTTGAGAGTGACAATAAGAATAAAACGTTCAGTTCAACTGCTGAGTAATAAAATAACTTCATAAGCCGTGGGCCATTTAGATAAGAGCCCAGTTCCAATTCAAGTGGTACAAGAATCAAGAATTTGGCCCACTAATCCCAAAGCAAAACAAAGATTTTGGCCCAAACCGTGGCTAAAATATTCAGCATCCCTTTAGCCTTTTGTTGAGGAAATTTACATACTTAAAAGTGATAATTCTACATGTTCTTATCTTTTTTTAACAGAATAGTTGTGGTATTTTTTTTTTTTTTTTTTTAATGAGGTGTTCAGTCCAACTTATACGTACCTTAACTAATACTCGAGACCCATTGAACAGCTTACAAGGCTAATATTTCAGGTAAGCCACAAATGTATGTGATAGGTGACCCTAAGATGGGTTGAAACTAGAAAGTCAATAAAATGAACAAACTTTTTTGACGGTTAGACTGATCATTGGAGTTAGAGGTGAGCAAAGTTGGACCCAAGTAGTCTTGGGCTCCAACCCTCAAGGATTGGTCCCAAGCCCAGGCCTAGCTTGTATAAGACCGGTCCTATGCAAGCCTGGTAAATGTCCATTTAGCCCCCTAATTTTTTTTATATAGTTTGGGTAATAATAATTACATAAGAGGGCTTTTATAATTTATCAAGGGCTAATTTGTAATGTTTTAATACATTCCATATATCATAAGAGGTTTTAGTTATTTGTCAAGGGATTTTGGTTATTTGGTAAAGGGTATTCTGAAATGAACTAGGCCCAGTCCCAGGAGAAGGGATTGGCCCAGGCTCGATTACCCCTCCCGAGAGCTCAGGCTTTTTGCCCAGCTCTACCTGAGGTTTTAGTTAGGGGTGTTCAAAAAAATGTGAAAACTGAATCGAACCGAACCAAAAAACCGTTCAACAGAAAAAACTGTGGCTTTTAATAGCAATTAAGAGCCCATAAAAAAAGGGTGGTTTTGGCAACAGTCAGCTTTATGACAAATTAATGGGCAATTACTAGAAGACATTAAGCTAAAAACAAATGATCTCATCTCTCACCCATTAAAATTAGTGCTCTAAATGGGCACCCACCTTCCTTAAACTGAAATCTTCTTGAATACTGAGTTTATAGAGTTTAAACTTGTGTCTCTGACACTTCCATGCCCGTGACTGAAGACCCACCCACCATCAACATGAGATTAAACAAACACTAGATCTTGTCTCTTTCATTAATTTCTATTCTCTTGTCTAAACTAAAATTATTTCAGCTTGGAAGAAGTTACTAAATTTCCCAGTTTAATTAATCTCACATACATCCACATTAGTGGTCCTTTATCCCCTTTTGTTTTTTTACCTCATCTTCCAACACAATCTGCCAAAGTTTTTAGCTGAATTTTAGAGGAATTTTCCCACTTATCTTATTGAGTTTTGAGAATCACCATTTACAATGCCCCGCCCCACATACTTACAAAAACTTCCATCTCTTGAAAACTCCCCCCTTTAAACATTGTTAGAATCGATAGAACCGCTTTAAGACAATCTCATATAATATGCCAATTCATTTGTTTTGTCTTTCTAATAATATAGGTCACAATCTAGTCTAACCTAAACAAACCAAATGCAATCTATCCGTTCTTTTAAATTAAGCCCTTACCTAGGAAAAATCTACTATTTGCAGGTACATCTTCTTTGTACTTATTGAGCTTTTGTAGATTCCTTCTCAGCTACCTCCAAAGTCCAAACCACCCCACCTACAAAATCTTCTTCACTTTGAGGTTTGATTTAGAATTTATACTGATAAATCTCACATTTTCAGCAGCTGGCCTTAAAACTAGCTACTAGTTGGTGTGATTGGCATATTTTTGATCGCCCTATAAATGGAGACGAAATTTTACATGGATAACATCATATATATGAACAAGTGGGGTTCTGTATTTGCATGCTGGGGATGTTGATCAGCTAAAACAATGACAGATTCTTTGTGTTGTCCTATCATACTTGGCTTATATATACATTATTGTCGGACGCAACTGATGAGTCTCTGCAGGATGTTTTGCAGTAACAGGATGCATATTAGCCTTAGGGTTAGAATATGCCTTCTGCACCACCCAAATTTCATCTATTGTAGAGAATCTTCGATGTAACAGAGCATATGTATTCAACTAATCATGAAGTACTCGATATAAAAAAGCGATAACATGTTTATCTCAACCATTGAAATATTCTAGTTACATATTCTGCAAATTGGAAGGCAACATTTAGCCAAGGAATAGTATCTGTGATTGTGCATATCTTGAAAGGAGCCAATGTAGGAAAGTGCTGGCCACTGATACTACCACCACAACCAAAACTTTGAAAAAATTAAAGAAAGATAAAAAAGAAAGAGAGAGAAAAGCAGAAAGAAGGAAACAAACATATAGCTTAGTGGCATCATATATATTCCCACTAGCATTTAGCAGATTCAGCTTATCAAAATGGATGATGTGGTTTATCACTAATCCTAGATTTTGGCATGATCTTTTTGAAATGAAAATGGGATTATGATTTTATATTGTCAAAACAAAAAGCCATTGAAGTTTAGATACTCCCAAGTACTCCCAACCAGGACTCTCCACCCCTAAAGTTAAAATGTTCTATCTACTTTTGGCTTTTCCTAAAATCTTCTTGTTTTTTTGTCTTTAATATAAGAAGAAAGTACCTAGTGCATAGTCTTTGGGTTTTTGAAAAGAAAACATATAATGGATTTGGAGGCACCTGTAAAACGCTCCCTTGCAATCCCCACTATCACCCACTAGGCAACAAGAAAGGCTGTTGTTTTGTTTTGGTAGAGCATGTTTGGATTGGAGCATAACACCAAAGTTTGGCCAGCTCTTATTCCCATCCATGTCGCATAATGACAAAGAAAAATCAACAGAGAGAGAGAGAGAGAGAGAGAGAGAGGGAAACACGCTTCATTTTTTTAGAGGGAGAGAAAGTAACAAACGGAGAAAGAAAGTAAAAAGAGTAAGTGCACTCTTGTATTGTATTTCAAGAAATTCCATATTCGTCTGACCCCCCCAAAGGACAACAAAACAATGAAGACAAAAACAACCTCTTGTGTTGTCGCCAAAGCAGCCATGGAAAAGTCCTTCAAGACAAGAGCTTTAATTCCAATTCGCTCACTTTGCAACAAATCCCTAGCCCACAAACCCAACCTAATTCCTCTTAACCCACTTTGGTGGATTAAGAGAGTTTCCTCAACCTAACTTCAACTGTTTTTGAGGGTCTTTATGGGTTTTTGCTGAATTTTGTAACCCACCTGGGAGTTTTAACCTACTGCTCTGTTTCATAAGTAAATCTCAGGAGCAGCTACTGTGCTTTCTCTGGTGAGTTCTTGTGGCCGATTATTGATTTTGACTGCTTAATTTTGGGGAATTCTTGAAAATCTATGCATGCCCGCTTGAGCTTGCTCTCTGTTTTTAGTTAAGAAACATAAATTTGCTTTTGTTTCCGGTATACTGTATATTTTGGTTGCTGAAAAAATGTCTGTAAAGAGTAGTGATAACAATTCTGAAGCCAAAAATGCTGAATTTTTCACTTAACCGAGCCCCGTACAACTGTTTTTGGTTAGTCATGTTTAGTATTAATATGCTTTTGGAGATAGTACAAAAAGTAAACGTAAGAAACATGATCTTGTTTTCCATTTTCTCTATTGAAATTATGTTAGTATGTCGCAGTTAAATGGTTCGTTTAACAAGTCATCTTATATTCTACTGAAAATTCGAAGAGGGAACCAGCATCTTGTATTCTTAAAATAAGAATAATCACATGCTGAATAGTGTTATTTGCTCACTTAAAAGAGGACATGGACGATGAGGAGAAACCAACTATGTTTTGTTTCTACAAAAAGTTTTTTCATATAACAGATTTAAAATGTTTTTTTTCTTTCTAATCATCTTCAGATTTTTTTTGGCAACCTGATGATCTCATTCTGGCTATCTTTGGTCTCAGCTTCCATTTAAGGCACGGAGTTTGTTATTATTGTTAATGGCAGGAATGGTTCAAGAGGAGGGA